AGGTCCACAGAGCTCAGCTCCAGGTGGGGCACTGGGCTAGTTGCGGAGACCTCAAAGGTAAGAGTTTATCGTCTGGCTAGACGGAGCCCACTGAGAACAAAAGCTGTATTTTTCATGATCTTCATCTTTGCTTCCCAAGACTTTGCTTCCCACTTAGTTGATACTCAGTAAGAGTTTTTAAACTTCTTTATGATCATAAAAGTAATTTATTGTGAAACAAAGTATAGAAAAGAAAAACACAAAAAACAGAAGATATCTATAATCCCCCATCCAAACATACCTACTGTTAATACCATAAAATATTTCCTTCCGGTTTTTTTCTTGTCTTTTTTTTTTAAAGATTTTATTTGGGGAATTGGGGGAGATCAGCGTTGGGGAATAGGGGAAGGGGAACAGACAAGATGCTGTCCTTTTGTTCTTCAGTCTAGTTGTGGAAGACATTGCTTCACTGGCCCAAGCTGGCACCATCATTGTGCTCTTCCCGGGCGAGGCAGATCAGTCGCCGGCTTCTGGATGGCCGTTCACAGCAGCTGCTAGCCGCTCACTCCGGCTGCCAGCCACTCATGGTAGCTCACGGTAGCTCACTGCAGCAGGGGCTGCAGCCTATGCCATTGCCGGAGACTCACAGCAGCCCAGCTCCAGCTCGAGCTGTTGTTCACCATCTTAGCTGTAGAGGGCGCAGCATCACTGGCCCTCATGTGGGATCCGAACCAGGGCCCTGCTGCTCAGAGCTGGTGCCCCAAGTCAACTCTTAACCAGCGCGCTACTCGGCTGGCCCTGCTTTGAATGATTTTTGAAATAGACCCAGAAGTGGGGTTGCTGGATTATGTAGTAATTCTTTTTTTTGTTGTTTGAGGAATCTCCATACTTTTTCCATAGTGGCTGCACCATTTTACATTCCCAAGAACAGTTCACAAAGGTTCCAATTTCTCCACATCCTCACCAAAACTTTGTTTTCTGTTCTTTTGATAGCAGCCATCCTAAGTGTGAGGTGATATCTCACTGTGGTGTTGATTTGCATTTCCCTGATGATTATTGATGTTGAGCATTGTTTCATATGCTTGCTGGCCATTTGTATATCTTCTTTGGAGAAATGTCTATTCAAATCCTTTGACCATTTAAAAATCAGGTTATTTGTTTTTGTTGTTGAGTTGTAGAAGTTCCTTTTATATTCTGGATAGTAACACTTTCAGATATAAGATTTGTGAATATTTTCTCTCATTCCATAGGTTGCCTTTTTATTCTGTTGTGTCCTTTGACAGTCAGAAGTTTTTAAGTTTGATGTAGTGCCATTTGTCTATATTTGCTTTTGCTGCCAGTGCTTTTCGTGTCATATCCAGGAAATCATCATCAAACTCAATATCCTGAAGCTTCTCAGAGTTGTATAGTTTTAGGTTTTGCATTTAGGTCTTTAATGTTTTAGTCTATTTTTGTATGTGGTATAAGGTCTGGGTCTAAATTCATTCTTTTGCACATGAATGTCCAGTTTTAACAAAACTATTTGTTGAAGAGACTATCCTGTCCCCATTGTGTAATCTTGGTACCCTTGTTGAAAATCATCAGGCCATATGTGCAAGGGTTTATTTCTGGGCTCTTTATTCTGTTCCATTGATCTCTATTTGTCTTTATGCCAGTACCACACTGTCTTGATTACTGTTGCTTTGAAATTGGGAAGGGTGAGGCCTCTAATTCTGTTCTTTTTCAAGATTGTTTTGGCTATTTGTGATCCCTTGGGATTCCATATGAATTTTAGAATGCTTTTGCCCTAGTTCTGAAAAAAATGCCATTGGGGTCTTGATAGAGATTGCATTGAATCTGTAGATCATTTTGGTTAGTATGGACATTTTTTTTTTTTTTTAAGATTTTTATTGGGTAATTGGGGGGATGGGAACAGTATTGGGGAATTAGGGGGAGGGGAACAGACAAGTTGCTGTCGTTTTGTTCTTCAATCTAGTTGTGGAGGACGCTGCTTCACTGGCCCAAGTTGGCACCATCATTGCGCTCTTCCCTGGCGAGGCAGATCAGTCGCCGGCTTCTGGACGGCCGCTCACTGCGGCTGCTGGCCGCTCACGCTGGCTGCTGGCTACACACGGTAGCCCATGGCAATCCACTGCCACAGGGACTGCAGCCTACGCCGTCGCCAGCGACTCACGGCAGCCCAGCTCCAGGTTGAGCTGTTGTTCAGCATCTTAGCTGTAGAGGGCAGTGTCACTGGCCCTCATATGTGGGATCCGAACCGGGGCCCTCTGGCATCCCAAGCGAGTTCTTAACCATCGCGCCACTCGGCCGGCCCAGTATGGACATTTTAATGATTTTTGAGTCTTCCAATCTATGAGCATGGGAGATCTTTCCATTTATTTGTATCTTTTTGGGTTTCTTTCAGCAATATTTCGCATTTTTAGTGTACAAGTCTTTTACCTCCTTTTTTAGGCCATACTTAGTTTGTAAGGTTGCAAATAATTTGTGTGTAAACATCTATGTGTATAAATATTTCATATATCTCTGATTAGTTCCTAATCGTAGAGTTAATACATCAGAAAAAAAAAACTGAAGCATTTTTAAGGCTCTGGAAACACTCTGTCAGTTTGTTTTCCAGAAAAAAATAAAACAGTTTACATTCACGCTGGAAGAATATGAGAATGCATTTCATCATACTGAATACTGTCATTTTTTAATCTTTACCACTGTGTTAGTTGGAAAGTGGCATCACAGTGTCAGTTTAATTAGTATTCTTTTGATTACTTGTGAAGCAGAACACTTTTTTATATGTTTATTGACCAATGTGTTCTTATTTGAAAACTAATTACTTTTGCTCCTTTAACTAGAATAATGATAATAATACATCTATTCATTTTTTGCCAACAAATATTTATTGAACATCTACTATGTGCCAAGCGCTCTTCTAACTGCTGGGGATACAGAGTGCTCCTTATGGAATGTTAAGCTCCATGGGGAAAGAGAAGGACGATAAACAAAATGAAGAAGTAAATTAGTTAGGATGTCAGAGAGTGATAAGGACTATGGAGAAAAATGAAGCAGGGATGGGTACGGTTAAAACAGAGAGAGAACAGGATACAATTTAAAATAGGGTGGTCACATAAGGACTTCTTAACAGGTGACATTTGAGCAAAGACATAAAGCAAGCTATGCAGATGCCTGGGAAGAGCATTCCCCAAAAGAGGAAACATGCAGAATCGTGTCTAATATGTTCAAAGAAGAGCAAGGCTTGGGTAGCCTGAATGAAGAAAGCAATGGAGAGAAGAATAGATGATGACGTATCAGTCTGAGAGCTAAAGGGCAGAGCGCCCAGAGGAGGACCCTATGAGAAGGTGAGCACTCTACCCATTCAGGATCATCGCATGTCTCTATTTGTCTTAATAAAACGAAGTCATGTCTTCACTTATGTTTGAGGCATTTCTTATTAGGATTATTTTCAGGTATTTTATGTCTTTATGACTATTATGAATGGAACCTGTTTTCTTCCAGTATGTTTTCTAGCTGGTTATTTCTAGTACATAAAAAGTGGCTGACTTATGGACACTTCTTATATGCCTCCACTTAAACTGAACCTCTCAAGTGTAAGAATTTTTAGTTAATTCTCTTGAATTTTAAAAATTGAATATCATTATATACTCATAATATTGATAATTGTGTCTATTTTCTAACAATTTTTCTTTTCTACATTTTGTGCTATGACTATAGTTACTAAAACTAACCCAAAATGTTGAAAAGAAAAGGTGCTAAAACATGTATCCATAGAATTCTGTTAATGAGATGTCTCTATTGTGTCACTCTAATGTGCAGTGTAATATTGGCTGTAAGTCTAAGGCTGATATTCACAAGCAAGTTCAGGAACTTGCTTTGTAGACCTAATTTTAAAAGTAGTTTTTAAACATCAGAAATGTGTCTTGATTTTGGAATGTATTGATTGACTTGGTCTTTGGATCACCAAAAAGATCATTTGGGTACTTGCATTTTTATAAACATATTTTAAAAAGTCATCTTACAATAGTTAACTTTAAAGCACCTATACAAACAGCAATAAAAGGTAATTATAATAACCTTTCTTTCTACATTGAGAAAAAGCTTTAAGAACATTTTATATTTACATGATTAAAAATTCAAACATTTATTGTATCAAACATAACATTTTCACCAACCTAAAGTTACAAAGTATGTTAATTAAAATGAATATTTATCAAATGCCTTTCAGAGTTCCCTGGCCTTTCAGAGGCTTATAGCCATTTGGGATTGGGGGCAACAAGGTAAGAGCCCAACTGAGTCAGGGTAACACGTATCAGAAGAGCGCAGAGGAGTGAACAGTCACTGCTGGTGGGAAGTTCAAAGACAGCTTGGAAGGCAGTGTGACCTGCTCTCTGCGGAACAGGAAACCTAGTGCCCAGCAGGGTAGGTGGACCAGCGATTAGAAAGGCTGCATCAGTGGGAGAGATGAAAGGGCTGGGTGGATGAAGCAGTGCACTTGCGTCCCCAATGACAAAGCATAAACTATTCTAAGATACCTTCGTGGATTTGAAAGTCACAATTAAAAGGCAGGATCAGTGTGTCAGTAGGATATAAAATATGTGTTAGAAATATGGCAATATATTACCATTTGTGACAATGGATAGACCCAATGGGTATCATGCTAAGAGAAATAAGTCAGACAGAGAAATACAAATATCATATCACCTCACTTACATGTGGAATCTAAAGAACAGAATAAATGAACAAATAAAACAGAAACAGACTCACAGATACAGAGAACAAACTGATGGTAGCCAGGTGGTAGCGGGGGTTGGGAGGGTGGATGAAAAAGGGAGGAATATACAAACTGGTAGCTACAAAATAGTCATAGGGATGTAAAGTACAGTATAGAGAATATAGTCAATAATATTGTAACAACTACGTATAGTGCTAGGTGGGTACTAGACTTATTGGGGTTATCACTCCATAAGTTATATAAAAGTCTAACCACTATGCCGTACACTTGAAACTAATATAATATTGAATGTCAACTGTAATTGAAAATAAAAAATAATTAATAAAAAGAAATATGGCAATATAGAGAAAAAACGCTGAGTTAATCAGAAAAGTTCAAGATAAGGGTTTTGAAATAATGACTTTATCAGGCTGTTATATCAAATGTTCCTTTGAAAAATATCTAGATAGTGAAAGTTTACAGTTGGGGATAATTATTTTGAGAAGATGATGCCACCAAGCAGCATATTAAAAACAGTGGCTGCCTATTTCTATGAGCACAACGTAACTGCTCTCAGGGAAGCCACTTTCAATGAAAGCAAGCTGCCCCAAGCCCCAGGAGTAACTGCTTGCTATGTTATCATCTCAGCCTGCCAAAAACATGGCGAGACACAGAGCTGACATTTATTTTCTGAGCTATGGTAATGTGTTATCCCATTAGTGGTTTTGATCTTTTATGCTCATTCATGGAACTGAGGATCCACTATTGCTGACCAGATACACCCCTGGTTGGAGAGGATACAGGTGCATACTGTGCCATATGAGCCAGGCTACTTGATCTCCTGCTGCATTTCACTTGCAAAACGCTATTAACATCCGCCATCAATTCCTCTCTAAGGAGTGTATAAAAATTCATGACTCGGAATGCTGCATATAATCATTTGGTTACAGTAGTATATGAGTTTACTTCAAAATTGGAATTTTGAATGTGCTGATTCACTTACACACACACACACACGCCACACATACACACATACACATACACACTGTTGTCACCTGATAGTTGTGTTAATACAATGCCATTCTTTTTATTTGGGCAATAGTTGTACGTTTGGAAAATGAGTGTCAATCTATATGGATTTACCAATCCTTAACCAACACATTTTCAAAAAAATCTTACAAACCCATTTCATCGACTTAATTAGTAAGGAGGACTCTCTAGAAATGGTTAGTTTTTAAAAATGAGGAGATTATCTGGAACAGTGCTCCAGAATTTGCTATATGACAAGCATTTCTCAACAGCAAGGTCCACTCATTGTTATAGTCAGTCCATTTCATCTGGAGAGGCTTTGGTTTCTTCAGTCTTATGTGTCTGTTTTTCAGGTCACCAAATAGGGTGGACATTTTTATCAGAATGGAGTTATTAGAACTTTGGGATTTTCTTCATTGTCCATTGAATTTCTTGTTTTTTTACCAGACCTGAACCTGAAAATAAGATAGGTGCTAAAGAAAATTAAATATTCAAGACTCGCTTCCTCAAAATGCCAAACTGATGCTCATAAACAATTCTGCAGTCAATGAACAAGTAATTATTTTAACTCTAATAAGAACCTCAGAAGTCTAGAACTAGTATTTTATGATTTTGAATATTTGGAACCATTTTCTTAATTAAACATAAACAAAACCCAGAATTGACACTCTTTTACAATTTTCCTGGGGAAAGGGTAGAGTTTGGTAAGAATGAAGTTCTTGGCAAGCTAAACTTGATACTGAAGTAGTTGTATGATTAGAAGAAAACAACTTATCAGAAATGGGCACATTTTGTTGTGTGTGTTCTGTCAGGGATCAGAATCCATTCATGTACAGATTTATCTTTATCATGGCCAGGCACCAAAAACATATTACCTTATATAAAATTGCCATAGGAGTTATTCCCATATAACAGATGGGAATACTGAAGTTTAGTGAAAATCAAGTTTTGCCCCCAAAATCAAATTTGCCCAAATTTATGCAATAGATTTGGGATTTGAAGGCAGGCGGTTTCACTCTAGAATCTAAACTTCTGTCATACTGCTTATCATTTACATGTTATGCCAATTTGTGATATCACAGAAAGATACTTGTTTTTGTCCCCATTCCAGACACAGAGCTCTTAAATCCCTTGTAATTTCCTGGGTGATAAGGGTAATAGGAGGAGCATCTTGTCTTTTGATCTAATGAGGCAACTCTTGGCTGGGCCCCTGTGGATAACAGGGTGGGGGCTGGTTGCCATAAAAACCAAGCCTTAAATGGAAACCTGAAACTTTCACCCCATCCCCCAAACTCTGTGGAGGGACAAGGGGCTGGAGATTGAATTAATAATTGACCACACCTATGTGATGAAACCTCCATAAAACTCCCTAAACATGGGATTGGAGAGCTGAATTGGTGAACATTCATGTGGGGGGAAGGTGGCGCTCCCCAACTCCACAGGGACAGAAGCTTTTACACTCTGGACCCTTCAGGGCCTCACCCTGTGTACCTCTAATCTGGCTCTTCATTTGCATTCTTTACGATAAAACAACAAGAAAAGTGTTTTCCAGAGTTCTGTTGAGTGGGTCTAGCAAATTACCGAACTTCATTCAGGAGCAGGATTGTGGAAACATGACTTTGTAGCCAAGTTGGACAGAAGTGTGGATCACCTGGGGACCTGATACTTGTGACTGGCCTCTGAAGGGAGGGCAGTTTTAGAGGACTGAGCCCTTAAACCTGTGGAATCTGATGCTAACTCTAGGTAGTTAGTATTAGAATGGAATTAAATTATAGGACACCCAGTTGATGTCAGAATTGATTGCTATCAGGAGGAATTCCTCTTCACCCCCCCAATCTCATAGGCTCAAAAAATGATACTGAATTATTTTATATGTTTTTATTAATGTGGGTATTTTTCTTTCATATATAATCTGCCACTGAAATTTTCTTTTCTGTAAAATGCTTATTCATGACCTTTGCCAGTTTCCAAACCGAGTTGTTGGTCTTTTTCCCACCGATCACTAAGAGTTTTTTGTATATTAGGTATGTCAGCCCTATCTCTCAATTGTGTGTTGCCAGTACTTTTCCACTGGCTTGTTGACCTTTGTCTTTATTTATTGTTTCTTTTTTGCTGTGCCAACAATTTCTAAAATTACATAATTAGATATATCAATTTTTTCCTTTATAGATTTCCATATCATGCTGAGAAAGGCCTTCCCTAAAGTTATAAAAATATTTGCTTTCTTCTGGTGCATTTATGATTTTATACTTTTAGGCCTCAATTTTTAACCTTTCTGGAATTCATCTGAATGTACTATGAAGTAGGAGTCAAGTTTTCATTTCTCCAAAATGGCTAGCTGACTATTCTAACACCTTTTACTGAGTAATCAAAATTTTCCCCACTGATTCTGAATTGCTACTCTTTATTATATACAGAATTCTCATATCTTCTTAGGTTTAATTCTGAACTGTATTCTATTCTAGGAATTTCTATTCCCATACCATTAGCACACTGTTTTAGTTACCATTGCTTAAAAATATGCTTTATTATCTGACAGAGCTATTCTATAGAGACGCTTCATAGCCATTCTTGCATGTTTCTTCTTTCTGAGGAATTTTGGTATCATTTTTTTAAGTGCCACTTACCATTTCACTTTCTGCATCTCCTCTAAGGTCTCTGGTAGAGTCACTCCAAAACTTTCAGGGAAAAACAGGGTGACGATTCCAATCAGGATGGTCAGGCTGCCCATGAGGATGTAGGGCAGAACTTTGTTGTAAGCACCTGTGAGGCACAGGACACGAGGACATCAATTAGATCCAGGGATTCTCCAGCTGCTCCCGAGAACCACTTTGGAAAGGTAGCAAACAGTATTTGTGAACATTTTCAGAAGATAAAAAGTATGCAAAATACACTGTTTTTTGTTTTGTTTTGGCAGATGCCATTGCCTCTACAGTTCCATAATCATTTACCTGCTTGATTTTTGCATTATCAGGTCTTTCATGTCAACTGGCATTCTCTAAGCTACTACTTAATCATGTGTGACAGATGTTCCTTTGATAGACATCTTTGCCGAGCAAAGTCCGCCTCTGAAGGTGGGGGTAATTGGAGATGGGCAGAAAGGGAGGGCACCCAGGGGAAGGAGGCTGACCAGGATGTTGCCTGCACAGGTACTGGCCATTATGACTGGTGTGACCTTTGTTTTTGCCCAAACCTGTGGGCTGCAGTGGAAAGCCAGGTCCACAGAGTCATGTGACTGTAAAAAAATATATATAAGTAATATGTTCAATACAATTTAAATCAATGAATGTCAGGCACTGTGAAAACACAGTGCTTTGGTGTCTTTTTGCAGTGTTTATAAGTCCTGGTTTTATTTGTAATTGGAAAAACCACTCCACCTCTTCTTTATCAGGAGAATAATAGATCCTTCTTTCGCTTCCTTTCCACATACAGAGATTACTGGAGAACAACACACCCAAGAATTTTACTTGACAAAAAAACATTAATCTTGGGCCGGCCAAGTGGCGCGATGGTTAAGAACTGGCTTGGGACGCCAGAGGGCCCCGGTTCGGATCCCACATGAGGGCCAGTGACACTGCCCTCTACAGCTAAGATGCTGAACAACAGCTCGACCTGGAGCTGGGCTGCTGTGAGTCGCTGGCGACGTTGTAGGCTGCAACCCCTGTGGCAGTGGGTTGCCATGGGCTACAGTGTGTAGCCAGCAGCCAGTGTGAGCGGCTAGGAGCTGCAGTGAGCGGCCGTCCAGAAGCCGGTGACTGATCTGCCTCACCCGGGAAGAGCACAATGATGGTGCCAACTTGGGCCAGTGAAGCAATGTCCTCCACAACTAGACTGAAGAACAAAAGGACAGCAACTTGTCTGTTCCCCTTCCCCCAATTCCCCAGCACTGTTCCCATCCCCCCAATTCCCCAATAAAAATCTCTAAAAAACAAACAAACAAACAAACAAAACATTAATCTTGAAACTTCTCTGAGGCCTCTGTATCACTAACAGGAGTAGCCATTGTGGAACAGAAAGCTCTGTCTTAGACTCCTCCATTTTTTATGTATTGATGGTCCACCATTAGACCATATGAGCATGGTTTGAAAGTATAGGGAAGAACAAAGGGAAAACAACACCATTTTACATAACAATGTGCTTTCTCAGGTGTTGTTCAGGGCAGCTGTGCAGAGCATGTTTAAGGCACAATACTGTTTCTCTTTCTGTGTAAGGATTGAGTGTACCTTTTCTGAGAATTCTTATATTCTTTGGGGATGTGTATGTGTGTGTGTGTTTGAATCAATAGGTAACCAATGGATGGCCAGGAAGAATAAGGCGGCGTGTCTACATTTCTCGTCAGCAGAGTCCTTAATGAGAATTTGGCTCTGAGTGCCACATCCTGCATTCAGGGAACATCTCACTAAAGCCCCTCTGGGGTGTTATTCCAAACTGATAAATTTGACTACATAAAAACTAAAATTTCCGGGCCGGCTGAATGGCGCATTGGTTGGGATGCCAGAGGGCCCCAGTTCGGATCCCACATATGAGGGCCAGTGACACTGCCCTCTAAAGCTAAGATGGTGAACGGCAGCTCAACCTGGGGCTGGACTGCCATGGGTTGCCGGCGACAGCGTAGGCTGCAGTCCCCTGCTGCAGTGGGCTGCCATAGGCTACCGTGTGTAGCCGGCAGCCAGCCTGAGTGGCCAGCAGCCGCAGTGAGTGGCCGTCCAGAAGCCGGCAACTGATCTGCCTCGCCCGGGAAGAGTGCAATGATGGTGCCAGCTTGGGCCAGTGAAGCAACGTCCTCCACAACTAGACTGAAGAACAAAAGGACAGCAACTTGTCTGTTCCCCTTCCCCCGATTCCACAGCACTGTTCCCTTCCCCCAATTCCCCAATAAAAAAATCTTAAAAATAAAAAACTAAAATTTCCTGCATTGCAAAAATTTTCATAAAGTCAAAATGTAAATGATAAACTAGGAAAAATATTTACAACATATGTACAAAGGACTAATTTTTTTCAATTCCAAAGCCCTCTCACAAATCAAAAATAAAAAGTTGAATAAACCATTAGAAAGATGGGAAAAAGACATGAAAAGTCAGGTCACTGAAAAATAAATAGAATGGCAATAAATATATGAAAAACATTCAACCTCATTGATAATTAAAGAAATGGAAATGACAGCAATAATGGTATCCATTTTTCACATAACAGATTATCAATTAAAAAATTGGATAATATCCATTGTTGGTGAGGATACGGAGAGACAGGCACTCTCATGTATTGATAGCTGGATTGTAAATTGGTACAATATTTAGAGGTCAATTTGGCAATATCTATGAAAATTTTAAATTGTTCCAGCAATCCATGAATCTAAAATAATCAAATGGACAAAGGGTGTAGGGCCATAGGGAAATGTTCACTGTAGTATTATTTGTAATAACAAAAACCTGGAAATGGCCTAAATGTCTATCCATTGAGCCTAGTTAAATACATTAAGTATATATATACATTAGAAGACTAGGTAAAAGAAGGTATAAAAAAGCTATATATAATAGCTTTTAATAAAGATATTTGAATACAATGTTAAGTGAAAAATTTGTGAAATTGTAACTATATAACTATACAACTATATTAAATATATATATATATATATCATGCAAAACAAAATGTCTGAAGGGCTATTCACCAAAGTGTTAATATTAGTTACTTTTAGGGCTGTGATTTGAGGAGCTGAGAGAGAAGAGGTGAACTTGCACTTTTTCTAGTACTTTCTACGCTATTTGAATTTTTCACAATGAATATCTATTACTTTTATATTTAGAAAAAGAACAAATTCATAAGATGCATCTTACCAAGGTACACAAAGTAGGGAGCAATGATGCTGCCCACTCTAGAGGCCGTGGATGTGATCCCCACAGCCATGTTTCTGACCAGGGTTGGGTAGAGCTCTGCAGTGAAGACATACAGCATGGAGAAAGCAGATGTGATCCCAAATTTTCCTAACATCACCAGACCAATGGACAAGAAGTCATAATCTGGAAAAGAGACCCAGTGTAAACAGAGGTGCTTTTAAAAGTGATATGCTCTTAACTCAGTTGCTTTGATTGTCCTCTTTGCTTGTATAGGAATGTTTTTATAATGTAAAGATATTACCCAAATAACACTTTCTTTTCAAATGTCTTAGTAATTGACATGAACAAAGATGGAGAATGAGGGGCTGCTTTGTGCTTTACTCTGCTGTTAATCTAGATCATTTATGTGTTCAGTGACCTTTGCCCACTTTTATTTGTTACAACCGTTTCATGGTAAGTTGTTAGCATGTTACTATAGTTAAGTTTAATCTTCAAAGAGAAGGAGGCTCCTTTTTTATCCTGTTTATTATTATTAAGAAATATGTACTTCTATGTATACTATGTATCAATAAGCTATCACCTTAACATTTTAATAATGTGAGAAAGACAATGGGGAAAAGGGAAGGATATATCCCTTCATGTGCTCTTTAACTACTTAAACATTACAGACCATAAAAAAATCATTGAATTTATGTACTGGAACTGGCACGTACTACCAACTCTAACATTTGAATATACACCTCAGAGAAAAGGTTTGAAAGTATTAAGAAAGCAGTGAGAAATTGGGAATCAGGGTTGTGACTTAAAAAAGAGGTTTGAGGGTTTAGGTGAATGTTTCTGTGAAGGGGATGACTGGGAGCATTCCTCTTCCTCTTCAGGTAATGATTTCTGATTCTCCAAGACTGACTCATCTGTATGAGGCATGTTGTTTTGAACACTGGAAATTACATAGTTAGCTTTCACTTGTCTAATTGATGAATAGTATATGATGTAAAAAGGCTACATAAACAAAGAGCAGTAGCCAATAATTAGCCTAAATCAAGGTGTGGCTCTTTTCCAGTAAGCTGTTAATACTGGTCAACTTCTTACCTGCAGGTACCAACTGAATTAGGAGAAGCACACCTCCTCCCAAGAACAGTACTCCAGCTATGATGTAACGCCTGGGCAGGGTTCGCAGGAGCAGCCAGGCTGTAATGTAAGCTGGAACTTCAATCAAGGCAGAAAGGAAACAGTTCAGGTAGGCATCTCCATGCAAATTAGGAGAGTTGAGAGACAGAGCAAAGTAACCTACTGATGTTAGCATCCTGAAAGACAAAAGAAAACACTCAAAAGTGACAAAAAGATGGCCTGAGTCACTCTAAAATTTCATAATGGTCAAGAAATTGTCTAGATTTTGTTTTTCTGTAAGTAGCCACTAACCACATGTGGCTATTTAAAAGTAAATAACACCTGAAACTGAAGTAGAATAATGTGGTATGTCAACTATAATTAAATATATATCATGGGAGGTGGAGTACAACATAAGGAAGATAGTCAATGGTATTGTAACAGCTATATAGGATGTCAGAGGGGTAGTGGGTTGACGGAGGGGGGTTATCACTTTGTGAGGGGTGTAAATGTCTAACTATTATGCTGCTTTGTACACCCAAATAAATAAATTAATTAATTAAAATTAAATAAAATCAAAGAGTCAGTTCCTCAGTCACACTAGACACACTGGCTAGTGGCTACTGTAATGGACAACACAGATATGAAACATTTTCATCATTGCAGAAAATTCTATTGGACAGCACAGTCTAAATAGACCAATATCCAACAATACCTATTCTGGTCTAGTTAATTTTACATTTCAGTATTTCCTGAACAGTTTATACATCCTCATTTCCTTAGAGCTATTATTTGAAGACAGAATGTCAGTGAACATAAAAGCCAGACTTCATTCTTAAAGAAGAAGGAGGAGCGGGAGTAGTAAGAGGAGCAGGAGGGGGAGGAGGAGGAGCAGCAGCAGGAGGGGTAGGGGGAGGAGGAGGATCACGAGGAAGAAGAGGGGGAGGAGGAGCAGGAGGAGGAAGACGATCAGGAGGGGGAGGGGGAGCAGGAGGAGGGGGAGCAGGAGGAGGAGGAAGAACAGGAGGAGAAGAAGAAGGAACACAGGTAATACTGTGTGATCCACTTATAGTAAATTCCGATTGATTCTAGTAAAATTACTTTAGGGAGAAGAATGGAAGTCTTATATTGCTTCAAAGTATCAAAAAGTGCACACTGCATATCCTGTCATCAGTTAAGTTCCACATAAGGGCTTCTCTGTGGAAAAAAATAACTGCACTATGGCAGACTCCCCTGTGCAGAAATGGGTTTACTGTTAACATGACTGAAAAGTAGAGAATAGCTGAAGAATCTTTTCAGGATCACTGTTGGATATTTTTATATATACTCCACTAGGCTGAGTAGCACAAAGGCTAATCCAAAACAAAACAAAAACATTAAACTTCATTGCTCCAGGAATCTTAGCGATTTTCACATTTGGTAATAAGAGCAGCATAGGTAAAACTAGTGACTATGCTGAATTCATACTTGCTGAACTCGAGTCATAAGTTCTGTCATTGGTTTCCTCGAATTGTAAAATAGGACAGCCCTAAAAATACACATTGCAAGCTGAGGCTACTAGTTCTGACAATCATCATTTTTTGTGGGGTAAGCATGTTCTTTCCTTCTTCTTCCTCATTTCTTTGCAGGTCCATTATTAAATCTACTCTAAAAAGTTGATTCATCATTTCTATACCTTAAAATCACTTGGTGGTTTGTAATTATCAAGTGTGAAACCCCAATCTAGGCAGTGGGGGTTCAGGTTATTATAACCTCACTGTTGAATTGCCAGTACAGCTTCTGGAAGCAGGAGCTGAATTAGCTTCTTGCCTTCAGGCACCAGGGACCTCATTAGTCTTAATCCCAATGACTTTAGGAGGGGAAACCCTTTCCCTGTGGGTCAGAGTGCTGCAGACTTTAATATGGTTCCCTGAGACTTCTTTTTTTTTTTTTTCCCCCCCAGTATCCAGTTCTAGGAATTGAATTGAGGCATTTTCAAATAACTTAGAATTTTATAACTTTTATTTTGTTTCAGGAAGACCCAGGCCTTGCCCTGAGGTTCCCTTGAATTAAGAAAATTAGTTGTGGCCGGCCGAGTGGCACGATGGTTAAGAACTGGCTTGGATGCCAGAGGGACCCGGTTGGGATCCCACATATAAGGGCCAGTGACACTGCCCTCTACAGCTAAGATGCTGAACAACAGCTCCACCTGAGGCTGGGCTGCCGTGGGTCGCCGGCGACGGCATAGGCTGCAGCCCCTGTGGCAGTGGGTTGCCATGGGCTACCGTGTGTAGCCAGCAGCCATCAGCCGCCCTGAGCGGCCGTCCAGAAGCCGGCGACTGATCTGCCTCGCCCGGGAAGAACGCAATGATGGTGCCAGCTTGGGTCAGTGAAGCAATGTCCTCCACAACTAGACTGAAGAACAAAAGGACAGCGGCTTGTCTGTTCCCCTCCCCCGATTCCCCAATTAAAAAAATCTTTAAAAAAAGAAAATTAGTTGTGGGCCGGCAGAGTGGCGTGTTGGTTAAGAGCTGGCTTGGGACACCAGCTCTGAGCAACAGGGCCCTGGTTTGGATCCCACATGAGGGCCAGTGACACTGCCCTATACAGCTAAGATGGTGAACAACAGCTCGACCTGGAACTGGGCTGCCGTTGAGTCGCTGGCAAGGCGTAGGCTGCAGCCCTTGCTGCAGTGGGCTGCCATAAGCTACTGTGAGCGGCTGGCAGCCAGCATGAGCTGCCAAGAGCTGCCGTGAGCGGCCGTCCAGAGGCCAGCGACCGATCTGCCTCACCGGGGAAGAGCGCAATGATCACAATACCAACATGGGCCAGTGAAGCAAAGTCCTCCACAACTAGACTGAAGAACAAAAGGACAGCAACTTGTCTGTTCTCCTTCCCTGATTCCCCAACACTGCTCCCCTCCCCCAATTCCCCAATAAAATCTTTAAAAAAAAAAAAAAGGAAATCAGTTGTATACTTCTGTGCTGTATGTCACACTTCCAGATCACTTATTACTTACCATAGCAACAAAGACATAATCGTTATTGTGGCAATATTCCTAGTCCTGAACAGGTCCAGAATGAAAGCTTTCTGCTGCTTCGGGGGTTTTAGCTCCTGTAGCTAAAATAATGCAAATAACCATGAGATTAAGAGTTACTGACACAACTAGACTGAAACAACTACTTGACTTGGAGCTGATGGGTCCTGGAAAAATACACTGTTCCCCAATAAAAAAAAATTAAAAAAAAAAAAAAAAGAGGTAGTGAGGAAGTACCTTTGGCCATGACGGCATGGAAAAAACTTATGCATGTAAGTCTCACTTTACCTTAAATATGCTTAAAAGTCTAGAATTTGTGGGGAATAAGGGCATCTGCATATGATACTTAATTCAAGCACTTTAACATGTTTGTGGCCCATTTTAGACAGAAGCCTTTTAAATATATTACACTGGCTCCATTGTGTCTTTAAAGGAAAGCCTGACTGCTAACACAGCCTTTCCTTGATGCATGCTCATCATTGTGGGTGATGCGAGCTGTGATCCTGAGAGTAGGGCCATATAGCCCCAAACTGCCTTGAGTCCCTGCTTTTTATAATTTTCTTATTGTTGTCTCAGTATCAGAACAAACGTGGCAAACCTTGGGCACGTTACTATTTATGTTTTCCGAGCCTCTGTTTACTTCTCTGTAAAATGGGTACAATAATTGGGAGTTAAGAAGATTAAATGAGATTATATATTTATATATATATATATATATAAAGCTTAGCATAGTACTTGAACCATGGTAAATGCCCAGTAGATTTTAACTATAATATTATTACTGCACCGTTGAGGAAAAGATGCTAGCTATCAGTGGTGAGTGTTAATTTCTTACTACCGTCAATGGGCTTCTCTCCTTTACTCTTAATTCACTGAACTGAACTTGCCATGTGTTAGGAATCTAGATAACCAAGCTTATTAGAATTGAAATAAAAAGCTACAAGGTTCTGCAGTGGGGAATTTCTTTGGGGTAAAGTACAAGGACTTTGTGACCCTATGCTTTGTGTGCAGTAAGAGGCTGAGAAAAGAGAGTCTATGATGAAGGAAGTGAGGGTGCCAGCCCTGCCTCTGTAGCAGGTGTTCCCCAGATATTAATATTCTTCTTTCAGGAGTAAACCTCCTCACGCAGCTCGCAGGCATAGTACCTTGTTTCTTCTACACTATTTACAGCGTGCAGCTCTACTGTTATGACTAGAAGTCCTCCCGGAGGGCTCTGGGTGTGGTGCCACGCACAGATGGGGCCTGTGGGTCAGGCCTGTGCTAACACTTAGTGCTTCCACAGGGCCCTTGTGAAAATGCAGACTGCCAGGTCCCACCCCAAACCTGCTTCATCAGAATCTTCCCTGGGGTCCAGAGGCCTGGGAATCTATATTTTTAAAGCCTCTTGGGTGATTATGATAAGCAGCCAGGTGTGGAAACCTCAGGACAATAACATTCTTGTATCCAGTGCTGGTCCGTGGCCTATGTGGAGCCATCAAAATGCCTTTGGACCAGGCACTACAAGCAGGTTGAGGTTGCTTCAGAAGGAAAGTCAGAGAAGCCCGAGATTGCTTTCTAAGATGAGACTACCTTATACTCTTCCTGTCCAAGTTAACACCACTGTCCCTAAGACCAGGTGAAAAAGCCTCAGAAAACCCTGCACTTTGGCACCGGAGAGACCTAGTGAGACTTCTAGCTGTGTGATCCTGGGCATATCATTTAACTGCTCTATCCCTCAGTTTCCTCTCCTGAGAAATGGGCCCACGGCTTGCATGAGCGTCAGATGGCTGAATATGGTGCCTGGCATCTGCTGGGCTCCCCATCATCGTTCTGAGCAGGCTGCATTTGTAGCACAGGGCTCTGCAGATCCTGCTAAAGGGGACCCTACCAGAGAGGTGAGCATTGGAGGTGACTGGGCCTCGGGAAAGCACATGCCCCCTTGCCCTCGGCAGGCCTGTCTAGTTCAGGTTCGATGTGCTTCATGGCAGGAAGAAACAGGGTGCTGTCAGAAGCATGTGTTTTGACACTGGACTTTATTCTTATTTATGCATAACTCTATATCCCTTCCATGTTTTGTGATTGCTTTCACTCATGTAGGTTTGATCTCTGTAAGTTCCTCAAAGACAGAAATCAGACCACGTTTCCAATAAATGTCAATGAACATCCATATAGCCCTGAAGCGTTAGATACTCCCAGTGTTATTTTTTCTATCCAGTTAAACTGACTAAGTCTGGGAATGGAATTCTTGATCTGAAGAGTAAAGGATTAAGACGGGATGTTTGTCCTGGCAGCCCTCTGAGAACTTGGGTTCATGGCCACTGTAATTAATCCTCCAGCCATCGCCCGGGTATCTGCTTCTGTCCAAGGTCCCGAAGGCCAGGGGTGGAGGAGGCCTGGAGACGGAGCGCTGGCGTGCCCGCCTCCCTCCACAGAGCCCTGCTTTCTAGGGTAGCCAGTAGTGTAGACTTGCATACTGTTGCTGCAGCCACCCTAATCTTCTAGGGGTGCCCTGAGCAGCCCCTACCCTTCTAGCCAGGAATGCCCTGCCCCATCCTCTTCGTTCATGTAAGTGTCCGCCCTGGTTTGGACCAGGCTCTTCAGCCCCGAGTCTCTCTGCTGTCTTTCTCTGCCAGCACACGGCGTCTACTCCCTGGGTACTTAGCATTTCCTCCCTCACGTCATCATTTATCTTTCATCTAATCCTCTTAATGCTCTTGGTTCCATTCCATGCCCCTTAAGCATGAGAACTCTGTCTAATTTTTCTTGTTTTCTCTAGGAGCTGGCACAGGGCATGTTTGAGAACATGGTGAGTCCTCACTGACTGTCAGGAAGGGCGGCTGCTTCCATAGCATATCAGCTTTTCTTCGTGGCCTCCTGCCTTCTGGGGTGAATCCTCAGCCTGTGCTCTCAGGTCTTAAGCTTCTAGACATGACATAGCAAGACTACAGACATGCAAAGCTTCCTCAGTAGGCTTTGGTAAGATTCAGGGTACAGTGGGGAGCCCAGGGATGGAATACCCCTCAAACACATTTTTTCCACTAAATCTGAACATTCAAAAATCACCAGTATGTAGCTGCATCAAAGGTATGGAGCAATCCCAATAAAAAGTTGGAGACAAATTTGCAAAAGTTAAGGGAACTAATATTTAGTCAACCCGTGATCCATGCAAGCATTTTACATATATTATTGCACTTAATTGGCACACAGCCCTTTGGGTTGGGTTTTATCTCAGAACTTAATCATCATGGTGTCTCTAAGGCCTCGCACAGAGGCTGGTACATAGCAGGCACTCAAAAAGACACTGAATTAAATTCCATAAAATCAAGACTACAAGGCTGATCTCAAGAGAAAACATCTGCAAAAGCTTACCTCCATGGGCCGGCTGAGTGGCTCAGTTGGTTAAGAGCTCACTCAAGAGTGCAAGCTCTGAGCAACAGGGTCACCGGTTCAATTCCCACATGGGCCAGTGAGCTGCACCTGAGCTAAGCTGCTGCTGAGCTGCCAACAGGTGGCAGGATAGCTCAGCTGGTGAGAGCATGTGCTCCTAACAACAAGGTTGCTGGTTGGACTACCGCATGAGATAGTGGGCTATGCCCACCTGCAACTAAGATTGAACACAGCACCTTGACTGAGCAGCCGCGAGCTGCTGACGGGTGGCCGGATGGTGACTGGACTTGGAGCTGAGCTAGCTGCGCCCTCCACAACTAAGATCAAAGGACAACAACTTGGCTGTTCCTGTTCCCCAATTCCCCAATTAAAAAAAAAAAAGCTTACCTCCACCACGGGATCAAAAATCACCAGTGGAACAGCTACATTGTTCATTTTTGCAGCTTTTCGGATGATATCTTCAGCCTCTCTAGGTCTTCTCTGGGATATCAGCCACCGGGGAGATTCAGGAATAAACCTAGAATTCATTTTTAATGGTTTATGATTTTTCACACTACCAGGGTTTGATACTATTAACCATAAGTTGCCTCCCAAAGAATTTTTATTTTGTAAAATTCTATTTTGTCTTTCTTTAAAAAAAAATCAGGGTGGGGGGAGGCCTCATAAGATTTCCATTGATGACAGATAAAAATACAAGCACCTCAGCCTTCAAAGTTGTGATGAAATCACAAGGCCGAGCATGAGTTGTGCTTGAAGCCAGGAGCAGAGAGGGAACTTGAACTGTGGGTGTGTGTAAGCCAGGGCAGCTGGAAAAGGCCATCCAAACCCAGTAGCCAGTGTGGCTCATAAAAGAGACAGAGTCTAGTGTCTTTTCAGTGTGTCTGCCCCGAGGAGAATCCTGGTGCCCCAGCTGGTGATGTTCACAAGTTGATTGTGTAAAAAACAGCCAGGGCTTCTATGCTCCCTGGGCTTTTCCTGGAGTCAGAGTAGGTGGGTGCACTGACACCTCCCTATGGGCTGTCCCTTGACTTTCAACAGATTCCCAGGTACACGAGTACCCAAATCAGTTTGGGGGAGACAGCCAATGCTGTCTTTTATGTTTCTTAATGTCTAGAAACTTAATTTGTTTTGTTACACAATCTATCTACATGTTTAACTGATGTTCAAAGACAGTTGACTTCTCTCCTTTCCTGATTAGTCTATTTTTTCTTTTTACATTTATTTGTGTCGTACTTATATTTATTGATATTTTTCTATTCTTTCCTAATTTTGATTTCTCAGAATCTCTAAGCCATTCTTCCGCCAGCTCTTGTTTTCCTTACTTATTAGTCAGTACTTAATTATCCTAGAAAATAAATTACATGTAGCAGATACAGATATCTCCTATAATTAATAGGCCCCTCCAAAACCTCAGTAGGAAGGATCTCAGAGCAAAACACAACGTATCAAATGGCCAACCCCCCGCTCCCTGCCCCAGCCTACTAGCACATGGCTTTAAAAATGAACCCAGTTTGCATTTTTTGGAATATGCCCTTAGTTGGTCCCTGTAGCAACTGTGATGGTGTTAGGTTACGACCTCCAATAATTAAAGCTGTGCTGTCCAACAGAACTTTCTGTTGTGTCCTGTATCTGTGCTGTCCAACACAGTAGCCACTTAACCATGTGTGGCTATTGAGCTAGCGTGACTAGTGTGACTGAGAAACTGAATTTTTAATTTTATTTACTTTTAATTAATTTTACTTAAAATAGCAGCATGAGTCTGGTGGCTACCACGTTAGTGTAGAATTAGAGGCCTTCCTACACTGTGGGCACGTCTCCTTGTGAGAAGTGAACAACCCAACCAGGTTGTTCTTAGAAACATCCTACCTTTTTTACTACAGGATCTGAGGGCCACCACTGGCCTCAGGCTCCTAATGTTTAGGCAGCTAGATATTACAAAGCTTTCCCCATGTTGCATCTATGGTTCCTTCCCCACCTCCTACACACATACTCCATTCATACCTGTGACCACTTAGTTCCAAGGCTTTTAAAGGGAACTGAGACATAAAAATATCCCCAAGCCACCTGCAGTGGCTCTGTGCAGGTTCCCCTCCCATTTCCAGCCCATGTACTTAAGCCTGCTACAGGCTCTACTCTGAAATTGCCATGGTTTTTTGGGGGCAAGAAGAATCAAGTCTAGCTGATCATCTCAAAAGTTAGTGGAGCACCAAAAGAGGTTATACCTGATAGCCTCTCTGTAGATTAAATTCAGATTGAACAGGGGAGGGATGTTGCTGGAGAGGTGGTGTCATACACTGAGCCAGCAGCAAGGGGCCCAGCAGCCTGGAGCACCCCCACCTCGTCCCAGCCCACCTGGACCAATAAGCATCACTTTAGGAAGGTCCACCAGCACGGACAAGATGTTCAGAGAAAAGCGATTTTGTTTTTATAGGAAAATGATAAGATGGTCATTTTAAACTTTCAGGATGAGCACGCAGCTCATTAGTGCTGGCCCCGGGCTGCACTTTATCTGGGACAGAGCTGTCCCTGGAACAGTGTGCCCACAGCCAGGGGCACTCAAGGACCACGCTGCGGGCAGCAGAAGAAAGAACTCCCCTTAGGGCAGGAGTGAGACACATCTCGTGGGATGGCCCTTCTCTGCTGGAACCTCAAGGGGCTGACCTATCAGGGTTGTTTCTTGCTGTGCTATTGGTCCTGTGGCAGAGATCCCAGGCCCACAAACCAAAATCCCTACTAACCTTTGGTCAATCAGAGCCCTTCTATCTTCTCTCTCTCTCTCATAGAATTATACGGTAATAAGTTTGATTATAACATATATTAAAAGTACTGGTCTCTTATGCCAAAAAGACAACTAGAGCCAGAGAACATCGATTATTAAAATCATTCATCTGAAAAGGCAGAAAATAACCTTTGAATGATCTTGTCTTATGTCTTGAGAGAACCTCGGGTCACGAACATCGTTGACACAGGTTCAGTTAGCAAGGGGGTTGTGGACATAGGGACAGAGGGTGTGATGATGATGATGATGATGACTCTTATTCCAGAAAATTGCCCTGCTCTTGTAAATCTGGAATGCTTGCTTTTCTTGGAGGCAGAATGTAGATAATGGCCTGCCCTTATTCACCATAAGCCCTCCTAACCCGTAGACTGGGTTCCAGAGAAAACCTCCAAATCAGAATAGTACCTAACCTCTAACATGCTCTCTCTCAAATTCCAGGGAAGTAAGAAAAAAAAAAAAGAAAAACATGTCGTCATCATCCCCCCGCCCCCGACCACCCACGCACACTATTGCTAAGAATTTACACTGGAAAATCCTAGCAGCCTTAGCGGTCATAAAAAGACAGTAGCTTGGAGTGGTCCAACCTGAGCCAAGATGTGCTACCTGTGAGCCTCTCTAGTCGTCTACCACTTGCAGCAAGATAAGGTACCTTCTAGGCACCTTCCTAGGCAGTGTGTCCAGAGGACAGGGCAACCATGAGGCCTTGTTTAAACTGTGAATTCCAAAAAATGATCAAAGAAATGTTCATTGTATATATGCAGGTAGAGATCAAGCAGTTCAGTAAAATCAGTCACTGCTGGGACATCTCATTTTGATATCATGAGACCAAACCAAAAAGAATTAATGAGAGAGAGAGAGCATGCGACAGACCCAACAATGGAAGAAGCCCCTTCCTTTTGCTTAAATCTGAAAAACCAAAGGAATGGTGAATCCCCCAAAAGAGGGTATGGCTGGGACCTTATTCCCTTATTCTTAATCTGTTCGCTCACTTGAAATCTCCCACATAACCGTATTGGGTGAAACTGGAGCCCGTATCTCCAGACACTGTTATTCCTATACTCATGTGCCAAAATTGGGTTGGAGGGTTGAGGGAGGAGAGAAGAGACCATTTCTCTAACCATTCATTAAACAAAAGTAATTCTTATTCTTCTAAACAGAGCGGATAAACAGGCAGACCTTAGAGGCTTGGGGAAATTACATTACTTGGGTCCATAAGGAGAAAGAGATTTTCCTATAGAGAGAAAAGTTTCAAAAGAGCAAGGGGGTAGAGTTAAACACAACAAAACCCAAGCGTACCATCTCCACAAATCACCACCAACAGCAGACAAGAGTGGGGAGAGCCTAGGCGGAGGCTGGAATTCCTGAGAAAGGTGCTTTGTGGGATGGTGGAGAATGAAACCCCAGCACATGGGCCCACCCACAGCCAGGCAAACACTCTCTGGACTTGAGGCTCTGGCTCCAGGCACAGCAGGGGGCTGTCTGGGGCCAAGCCACACTCACCACCACAGCGGGACGCACAGCACCCCGGGCACCGTCAGCGCCAGAAGCAGCTTCCGCCAGTCTCTGATGAAGTAAGCAAACAGTGGCAGCAGCATGTAGCCTACTGCAAAAAATATGCACACTCCTAACGTAGAGAATATAATACGCACTGACTTGCCAAGAATTTCTGTTCCTGTTCAAAACAAGGGAGGAGTATTAGCATTTTAACTCACTTTAATATTTGCTTTTTACATCATTACCTGGCACTTAAGCGTTTAAACTATAGCTTATAGGGAAAAGGCATTTGTCTCACGGCCCAGTGCAGGAGTGGTTAGGGCAGAGGAAGGTGGGAAGTGACCCAAGACTTATTACCCAATGGAAGGTAAGTTTTCATGAGATTTTAAAGGAGACATAGATTTTTTTTTTAAAGATCATTTTATGTCATAGAAATAGTGTGCCTAGTCCCAAGAGGTAATCTTTTCTGGGAATGCCACATTTCTAAAAATCAGAGTCCCAGGGTGAGGAGCAGAGAGGGTGTTTGAAGAGACTGGGGGCTCTCTTGAGGGGCTCTGTGGGGTCATGGTGCATTTAGCCTTTCCCACAATTCTTCACTGTACATGAACAGACACTGGCCTCTCAGGGAAAAAGTGCAGAGTTCAAAGTTATTGAGCTGTGTTAGGACACACTTAGACAACCTTATCATTGAGAAATGATAAATTAGGATCCAGCTGGCTCTGGAGGTGCCCAGAGCTGAATTCCCCTGCAGCCACATTGTGCCCAGGCAGACAGTCCATTCAGACCAAGGAAAGAAAAGAAGGGGTTGCCCTGGGCCAGCAGGCAGCAGCCCTGGAGCTGGCCACTCACCCAGGGAACTGCACGGAGCTTTCCCAGAACATCACAAAAGCCCAAGACTGCTTGGTGTTGGGCCCTGTTTTGGGAAAGGACACACAGGTGGCTATTGGATCCTGGTCTGCTCAGTGCCAGAATGGATAGCAACAGGTTCCTCCAGAGATGCTGCCCCGCCCCTCAGAGTCCAAGAACAAGCTCCTTCTGTTGTCACAGAGCTCAGGGCCCTTTCACAGAGTCCACTCTTGGTCCTCTGCCCCAGGGGTGGAGATCTGGCCAATGGCAACCACAGGCCTTTTGTTTGAGATCTTCCCACCACTACAGAAATAGCCCAGAAAATACAAAACAGACCATTCACAGGCCATTCAGGCTTGTCTTGCAAGAGAGGTTTTCTCAATCCTGTTTACATGCCCTGAGCACAGGCTAAGGAAGTAAGGGCTAATTCTAAAGAAACAGTAAAATTGCTACTTCTCCTGGTTTCCTGTTCCCACCGTCTACCTGTTCCTGTTCCACCCCACTTCTCCCTCACTCAGCATAACTGACAAACGGGTCTCAGTGCTTCTGTCTGGAACAGCCATTTCTAAAAGCCAGACTGACAGAAGCGGCCAGTACTGTGTGCCTCTTACATCCTGGACTGTGGATAACAGCTCTAACCACCCAGGCCACTTCTCAGCCTCTAAACTGGTTCCAAAGGATTGGGCCTGACCTCTTTGAGGATCGTGAGTGCTATTTCCAGATCTTTTCTTACTCACTAAGGACCTTCCTACCACTCCATTGGAAGGCTCCCCATGCCGTGGTTTCTAAATGCATTGGCTGTGATTATCATGATATGGGAATGCATAGGGGGTACTTTATTCCCAAGCAGAGATTCAGAAGTGAAGCAGCAGAGGATTTGATTGAGGACAAGAGAAAGTGCACGGGACCATGTAAGAATCTTGTAGAATTGTGAGGCCCAAGAGAGCGCACTCATAGTTCTAGGACCCTGATAAGCGAGAGAAGCTTCCCTGGACCCCTGGACACTCCCCCTCTCTGAGCTTGGGTCTCAGGCCAGAACAGAGCTGTTCTTACTTTGCAGAGTAAGCAGGACGGGCACAAGCTTCGTAAAAATCTACCTCTCTGCCTTTCTGGGGAGCAACATGGATGGCATGAGCCTGAATAGTTCCTTGTTAGCAAAACTTCCTGCTTTCCGGCTTTTAGATAATCACCCTTCCTTAACCGTCATCGTCATCATCATCATCATCATCATCATCATCATCATCTTCAGTGCTAGCATTTTTTTTGAGCAGGCACTGTGTCAGGTTCCAGACCAAGTGTTTACCTATATTATCTCTTTGAATCTTCACAATTATGGAAGAACTAATATTACTTCTATTTTATACATAATCATCTGAGATTTAAAGAGTTGGAACAAATTGCCTAAATGCATACATAGGTAATAAATGGGGCAGCCAGGATTTAAGTCTGATCTGTATGACGTATGGATAACGTCTAGGAAAAAATCATCCGGGGGCAAAGCCTTGGCCCTGTCAAGCAGCCCTTCAACTACGATTCTAGTAGAGACATGCATGGGAGATGGGTGAGACCATACCTCCCTTTCGGAAGTGAGGATTTATGTTTTCCCTGCCTGGGCTGGTCTTTGAACCAACCAGAGACCAACCAGCCCCCTCTAAGGAACACCAAGAGAGGAGTCCTGATTCCTGTAGACCTTTTCATGGCCTGCAGCTGCCACAAACTTTCCATGGGTTCAGCTGGCAGTGATGACTTCTGGCTCTTCCAACTGGGGATCCCTGACCTAGCCTCCTTTACTCCCTAGGTTTTTGCTCCCAGGGCAAAGCCCAGTTGATCTTGGTTTAGTTGGGCCTCTCAGTGTCTCTTAGGACACTAAGACATCTAAGCCAAAGGGGCATGCATGTCCTGGCCAGAATGTTTGCCCACTGCCTATCACCACCAACTGAATCTGAGCACTCTCTCCAAGAGGGAGTGACTCAGAGAGGGCCAAGCTCATTTTCATGTTGATCAGGGCACTTCTGTGGCAGTCAGTTAGGGGTCCAGTCAGGGACCACTGGATCCATTGCACATGGAGGCAGGACCTGCCCCTCCTTGAATGACCAACAGAGGCCTGCAGCAGACCCCAGCTTAAGAAACAAGACCATGGTGCTGTTGCCAGGATATGGGGTCGGACACAGGTGTGCCTGGGCTGGGAGTGGCCTCCATCAGGCATGTGCAGAGAGCCCGGGCTCCTTGGTGCTCATTTGTTACTAGAGTGACTTTGATAGTCCTACTTCAGGGAGTATTATGGGAACTGAGACAATGTATGTAAAGTGCCTGGCTGTGGTCAGAGCTCAGGAATAGATAATTCCTTTATCCTGATCAAACAGTTGAAATGTGCTAGATGTCAGGGGAATGACGGAAAGTACAGTGGCTTTGACCAAGAGACCCAGTGGAAGACAGCAAAACCTCTCTTTGCTCCCTGGAAAATACTCAGAATTCTCCTCAAATTAACACCCTACTCAGGGCTTCCTCTCTCCCCTCTATAAACCTTCATTCTAGTTAAAAGTAACCTTTCCTATCTCTGCATATACCCAGATAAATCATCTGCAAGCCCGCACCCCTGCCACACCTATGAGGAACCGTGTCTTCAGTAACAGCAACTGCTGCTTCTGCCGACCAGTTGTGAGCTCCTGGTAAACAGATAGGAGTGAGTCCTTGCTCCCCCCAGGGTCCCCCAGTGTTTCCCTCACACAGTGCAATGCAAACAAGGGGCACCAGCAAATTTCGGCATCTTTTGAAATGCATTTATACCCCATTTCATTCCTTGAAGATTTTGAGGTAGCTTATAATTTGAATACAATGAAATAATGGTAGCATTAACGTAACATGTAAAGAAAGGTTAAAAGTTATGTCTTGGAAAAAAGAACAAAAATATGCAACTGATCACTTTGAAAAACAGTCTGGCAGTTCCTTAAACAGTTAAACATTCATTACCACATGACCCAGCAATTCCACTCCTAGGTGCTTACTTACTCAAGAGAATTGAAAACATATCTACAAAACAAGCATACTTGAATATTCATAACACATTATTCATAATAGCCTCAAAGTGGAAACAACCCCAATGTCCATCGACTGATGAATGCATGAATAAGATGTAGCATGTCTATACAATGGGATATTGATTCATGCTACTATATGGACCAACCTTGAAAAGATTTAAGTGAAGGAAGTCAGTCACAAAGGCCACATGTTGTATGATTCCATTTATCGGAAATGTCTAGAATAGACAAATCAGCAGAGACAGAAAGTAGATTAATGGTTGCCAGGGGCTGGGGAAAGAGGGGGTTGCAAAGTGACTGCTAATGGGGACAGGGTTTCCTTGGGGGTGATGAAAATGTTCTGGAGTTAGAATTATGGTTGTACAACTTTGTGAATATACTAATAACCACTGAGTGAGTTATTAGTATTTAAAAAAATAAGTATTATGGGATGCAAATTATACTTTAAAAACATTTTTTAAAAATATGGATGATAAAGGTTGCATAATTGATAATAGTTAAATTTCAATTTTGACTGAGCTTTCTGGTAGCCAAAGTGATAAAGGAAGATGCAATCAGTTGCATACTTATCAAAAGGAAAAACACATCTAGGCAATAGCAGAAACAGAGCTTTAAATATTAATAGTTCAACATGCTGGAATAAATACTGCATAGGAGGTTGACATCAGGAGTACTGGGGAAAACACTGAATTAATGGATCAGTCAAGACAGGAAGCAGTTAAGTGTGTGAAATAAATTTAAGCAGCTAGTTATAAGGGATAAAGGAGAATGCCACTGGCATTTTACCCAGAAGGCTGTGGACAGATTGAAGGCATTATTTCTGGAAAACAGTAGGAGACTGTGAGGGGAGCTGGAATGTGGGGAGGATCAGTGTTCTTGGTCTTGAGTGTTCATTTCCTCCTAAACCAGCATCATTTGGGCAGCTCCCTCACTTTTGGGTGTAGCCACTTCTGTTCCTTCCTTTTCTTGTTTCCTATATATACTCTGGCAGGCTTTATAGTTTTAAAAAGGCAGAGCAAGGAGAGGATCCCTTTCTGCACCACTTCGAGAATGGGAGTAATTCATGGGAGAAATTCAGTTGCCCGAATTAATGTAAAGACTCTTAAAACTGGAGATTATCATCTCAGAGTCTTCCCAACTCTTTCCTAGAGCCACAGGGCAAAGTAAAGGCCCAGAAAGAACCTAGCCCAGAACCCATGCTTCCCTTTATTTTAGTCAAAACCAGGAATTCACTATTTTAGCCTGGAAACAGCAGAGGTCGCTGTTGTGCTGCAGGGAAGCTAGCCACCGTGTGCCCTCACACTGAATCCCGCCACCCCACCTCAGGCGCTGATGAGGAAGTCAGGCTGTTCCAGGGGGCAGGTTGGTTTTCAGTGACTCTTTCAAAATGGTTCAGACTTGAGAACCCAAAGCAAAGGCTCTCATAACAAGTCAAAGTCAGCAGTTTCCCGCAGAGCACAGTGGGAGCCAGGGAGGCTCCCAGAGCACCCTACAACAGGCTGATGGGGGGCCTTCTGCACCCAGCGTCCCGCTCACTGATCTCTGGCTGGAACATGAAGCTCTGACTGGTCTCACATGATCTCCCTTTCCCTTTGGCCCTCTCCCTCTTCTCAGCCTGCGCAGCAGGGAGGGGAGCAGGTTGTAGTGTCAGGTCCATCTGGGCAGAACTTCCCTGCAGGAGGCCTGGGGTGGGCTCTCCCAGCCTCAATCACTCACACAGAAAGGCTCCACGGCCCCAGAAGCACCCTGTACCACTGGAAAGGCAGGTCTCGATGCTGGCCATTCAGCAGAACCTGAGGGATGCCATGCCTGGCACAAATCCCACCTGGCTCCCTGTCCCAGTGATAGGACTTTCCGGGCTGCACCATAACCGTCTGCCCTTCCATTTCAGATGGTCCTTTAGGTCTTCCTAAAGGCATCTGCTCACCTCAGGCAGAGCCCTCTGTTTTGGGGACACCTGTTTAGTCTCTAGTGTGCCTCTGGCCCAAGCAGAACCACATATTGGGCCTTTCAGATATTGGGAGGGTCACCACAAGGTAGACGAATTAGGGGGGACTTAGACCATAGGCCTTGCTGTGCCCACGTTGGGCCATCAGGCATTAGGAGGTTGCAATTTCTGTCCTCAATTTCTCCAATTTCCAGTTTCCAGAACCACTGGCCTGAAGCTCTCTGTGTCCTCTACACAAATGACCTTCTTTAAGAAAACCTTGCTCCCCTCCTTCCCCTGACAGGGAGGACAGAGGCTGCCTCCAGCCGGAGCCTGTGAAGAGGGTGCTATTCCCCAGGTCCACGTGGCTTCAGCATGCTTTCCCTCCTGCCTTCTTTAGTCACTGAGGGTGGGCCTGTGGCAAGGGGTTCTTCACAAATGATTAAAGGAGTGGAATTTGAACAATTCCATTTTGGCAACCTGACAAAGGGTGTACACATCCTCAATTAAGAGAACACAGCATCTCCAGAGCCAATGCGTCACCCAGACTCCTAAAAGTGATCAGCAGCATCTTATCAGATTCAGGCTTTTGAGAAAGCCGAATGACTAGACTTACATGAAAGGGACACTACCGTGTTTCCCCAAAAATAAGACCTAGCCAGAGAAGAAGCCCTAGCATGATTCCTCCAGGATATGGACAGCACGCACCCCTCACATGAGGGTCTCATGACGTGTTTCAGGGAGAAGGGTGCCTTTTCCACAAACTCCTTCAGCTTAACACGTTGTGGACCAGTGACGCAGATTTGCATTTATCTTGATCAAAATTACCATGTCTACCAAGACAACTATTACAATCATGTCACAATTCCTGAAACTCTCCTTTCAAGACAAGTTAGAGTATGTGGAAACTCTCCTTTCAAGACAAGTTAGCGTATGTGGAATAATCAGAGTGAACACGGGCCTTCCTCTGGAAATGAAAAACGAATCACGGTCTCTGAAACGTGACAAAACCACATTCAGGAGAAAGGGTGAAATTCTTCTTCAATCTTGGAGGATGCTCCTGTTGTCAACATGATTTCCACAATTCATGATTCAACAATGGTTGATGTTTCATGGAGAAATGAAGAAGTAAAGAAAAAAACCTATTTGTATTTTTCAGTATAATATGTTCATGAAGGGTGTTGATAGGGCAGATCAGTACTTGTCTTACTATTCTCTCTTGAGAAAAACAGTGAAGTGGCCAAAGAAAGTTGCATTTTGGCTTATAAATTGTGCACTTTTCAACTCTTTTCTAATCTATCAAAACCTAAAACCTACATAAAATATGAGATACAAAGAATTTCTGCTACAAGTGGCAAAAGACTGGGCTACAGATAAGGTGGAGACAGACTCAGACACAGACGCAGCATGTCCAGGAACATCAACCCAAACCCCTCGTGTGCCTCATGCAGACCCCGCTGGGAGACTTTCGGGTGATATGTGCAAACATGTGCTAGAGAAAATTGTTGGAAGTGAACAGAGGCAAAGAAAATATCCTGCTAGGAGGTACCATGTTTGTGCTGCCCACAAAAAAAAAAGAAGTGAAACTCGGTACATCTGCAAGTTCTGCTTAGTGCCACTCCACAAGGGAGAATGTTTCCAGAGGTATCACACCCTCAAGCACTACTAGGGTCTTTGGTGAGTATTTCCTGAAAATTTCAGTTCACAAAAATAGTTAGCGAATTTGTTATACATTTTTAAAGAAACACAGTATAAAAGTTGATTTAAATGGCTTAAACACCGGGAACATGCATTTAAACAATTTAAATGCCCCATCCTCAATGTGTTAAAATATTCAGTATGCTAAGGCGCCATATTTTGGCACCTAAAATCATGCTATGGCTCATTTTCCGGCTAGATCTTATTTTTTGGGGAAACCAGGTGCTAATAATTACACTGTGACAATAAGGATAAAACTGGGACAGCATGGAGCCCACAAGGATGTATTATCACATCAGACATTATTTGGTGTCTATTGTCCTAGAGGTGCCCTTCATTTCCCCTTCTTTCATCTGTTCAGAGAGAGCAGGTGGGCTCAGAGCATGTTGGGGGCTCCCACTCATGGGGACTCCCTGATCAACCTGCCTAGAGCTCACCTCACTCCCTCCCAGGAAAAGCTGGTGAGGGCCCTGGGGGCTACGCTGGGCCTTTAGCTTAGGAGTCCCTTTCATGCAGCCTGATATTCCAGAAGCAAGGCTGCTGCTAGGAGACAGGACTGCTATCAGCAGTGAGGCTGGTCCTGCACGTGGCTGATATGCTCTGAGGGTGGGGGTAGGGCTCTGACACAGGGTGAGAGCAGATCTGCCCAAAGCTGGCGGGCTGGCACTGAATTCCTGTCTGACACGTGCCTCCTCTACCTGTGTACCAGCCACTCCAACTACCCTAAGTCCCTCCATGGGCCATGCACGGTTGCCAGGAGCACCCTTTTGCCCTGTCCCAGGCAAAAGTCTTGAGCTTTCACAGCTCAGATGACAGACATCCCTAGGCCATCCCTCCTCTGTGCTTTTCCCAAGCCTTGTGCTCCTGAAATGTGTCTCAGTTGTTGTGTGGCTGGTTCCCACCAGCTCCAGCTTTTATTCACCACCACATTTCAGGACCCAGCACAGAGCTGGCTCCCTGTGATCAAAACCTGTGGCTACAACCCCCTCCCCCACATATGTTCAGGCTGATCATGTTTTGGAAGCACAGCCCACGGTTGAGGTGCTTCCTTCTGTGCTGTGTAAGAGCATTCCCTGTGTCCTTCTCAGTGGCCCCCTTCTTGGGCCTCTCGGAGGGTGGGAAGGAGAAGTCCTGTGGGTCAGAAGCCATTCCTACCTAGTATGAAGGCCACCACGTAGTTGGAGATCTGGCCCATGCCGACGATGACAAATAACACAGTGAACATCTCCCAGTTGATGGAGAAAATCTGCAGGAAGCTGAAGCCAGTCTGGATAGCCATGGTTGCAAACAGGATGTTCTTCCTGCCAAACCTGTAGAGCACAGCACAGCACAAAACATGGCACGTGCAGGTCACAGCAGTGCTGCCATTCCGGGAGCGTGGCAAGCACTGTCAGGTGTAGCAGCAGACTTTCTTTTTTCAGGGCTATGACTAACTCCTTTCCCTATCCTCCCAGGTTCCTCCTTCCTCCGGCATCCATCTGCTCAGGAGGGACCTTCTGAGGTTCTAAGCCCCTGTGGAAGCACCATATCTCGAAAGCACAGAGCAGCTTACGCAAGGACCACATGGGAATCTCTTTAAAATGAGCCACAGGTAGAAGCTGCCACCACATTTCTAAAAGGTGGATACAGTACAGAGAGCAGGTACATCTAATATCAGCAACATGGGAGTTCTGTCAATCCAGAACCAAGGCTCCCTCTATGGCAGTGGTCTTCAACCTTGGCTGTACTTGGAATCACCTGGAGAGCTTCAAAAAACACTGGTGCCTGTACCCGCCTCTTGTGATTCTTATTGTCTGGGATACAGTTTGGGCCTTGAAATTAAAAAAAATTTCCCAGGTGAGTCTAATGTGCAACCAAAATTGCCAAGCACTGCTCTACAGGAAGTGTAGCTTCCAGCAACGTCCACTAGTCACACTATGGTTGGCTTAAGTCTTCATTTCACATTCTGATAGTGACCGATGGGAAGAATGGAGCACAGGAGTGAGCACAACAGTCTCCCACCCCAGTTTCCAAACTCAGGTCTCAGGCTGTTGAGCTTGGGGTCCCACTGGACTTTGTAACTGGGGGAGGGACACTGCCAACACTGCCATTTAGCACTCCTACCTTCCTGCTCTTTCAGGGGCCAGTGGGGCACTTCTCCCAGAGCTGCGATGCTGTCTCCTCCAGACTGAGAGCTCCAGGTCAGCTCTGCAGCTTGAGTGGTCAGGCCAGGGGTCCCACCCACAGCAGAGGTGGGTGCACAGTTAGCAAGGGGTTGCTTGCTGTCTGGCCCAGACTCTGGCTGATGGCTGTTTGTGGACAGATCACACGTCATCCAAGAGGTAGGGGTGGGGTGGGAGGCAGTGGTGATGACAGCAGTGTCTTTTTGAAGGGGTTTGGGGCTATGAGGACTCCATTTTCCAGTGGGTGCTGGCAAGAGGCTGAGAGCAGGAAGAACAGGAGATATCATGGTTCCTCCTATCACTGACTTGTTGGCCTGAGGGGTCTCCCTTTCTGTGGGTGGAGATAGGCCCAAGACAGGCAGTGAGTTGACAAGGGGCACTATCCCACATTCCCTCCCTCCCTCCTCGCCTCCTTACCTGTCTGATAGCTGCCCGGACACAAAGGAGCCAAGGAGCACGCCTACAAAGAACAGGGAGGAGGTGAGGGGCGTCTTCCAGTCTTCCTCACACACCAGATTCCACTGCCAGGGAAGACAACGAGAAGTGTGAGCCCAGCTCCCCAGCAGGCCCAGCCCCAGCCCAGCTCCAAGGGAATGTTAGCATGGCGGCCGGAGCCGGCTCGTCTTTGTGCAAAGGGCATAGGCCTCACAGCTCTGGGGTCGACTCCTGACTACCATTTACTGGGCCATGTCGTTTACTGTCCTTCCTTTCTGGAAAGGAGGGTGACACCTTTGGCTCAGCTTATATCACACAGTGAGAAGCAAGCTGAAGCCATGGCTGTGACTGGTGACCCTCAGCTGCGAAGCAGTATGAGTAGAGGTGGCATGTCTACTTCAGAAGGCATCAGGGCATGGAGGGAACTGTTAGAAACTCCTGAGGGACACGACAGAGGGCATGGTCACTTGGTCCAGGTTAAAATATTTCCTCTGCTTTTTTGAAACGTGCAAGTGATCCTGGGGAGGTCCACAGTTATTTGCTCCCAGCAGACTCCTCTGGAGAGCCCTCTGCTCCCTGGTCTGCTCACATCAGAGGCCTATCTTGGGGCCTGATCCAGAGCTCCTCTGTGGGGGAGGGGAGAGTATCTCATCTCCCATCTACACTCCTTCACCCTCCTTCCCACTCAGCCTTCCCACAATTGTGGGCCCTCCCATCCCCAGGGCCATGGTCTGTGTAGCCCTAACAAGTCCCTGCTGGCAGATCCATAAAATGAGGGTTTCAGCCAGAGTTTCAATTTCCAGCTCTTGACTTAAGTCAATTCAGCAAAATCTCAAGGGAGGTTGCAAAAAATGTCAAAGCTTGTTCAGTGGGCTTTTATTTAAAAAATAAGCACGTGTCAATAAGTATTTAAGGGCTGCGGGTCAGGGGCTTGCTGTGTGTGGTCACATGACAGAATCTAGAGGAAAGACCCCCTGCCTCCCATCCTGTCCCAGCTCCGCTCGGTGGTGGTGCTGCTTCCATGACATTCGCAAAGCAACTCAGTTCTTAATCTTCACAACTTCCCTGAAGTAGACTGAAAAATGAATTCACATGTTTACATCACACTTCATTCTGCAGCCGCGGGGCATGTGTATAAGGACACATACCAGAGAACAGTGTGAAACAAAAAGCCAAGAGAATTGGGGCAAACAGAAAGCACAGGGGAGGAGGGGTTGCAAAATAACCAAGCGAAGGGTGAGCATGACCGCCAACTGGCCTGCCCAGGAAGGCCCTGAAATTGGGCTCTGAGTGTCCCAGCTGCTCGGCTCTCGGACCACAGGGCACAAAGTGAGAGCGACATTTTGCAGAAGCTCAGTTTTTCTGAGGACCAAGACCTGAGAGAAGTCTCTCCTCAATTCCTCCTTTCACAAAGGGGTCACTCTGTGATGTTGAGGATAATGTCCTCAAGAACACCCCTAGACAGAAACAATAGCAAGATTCATGAGGCTGCCTCTCCCGGTGCTCACGGTGCTGGCCGCAGGCGGGATGCCAAGCACAGCTCTGCAGAAGGAAAACAGCGTGGCCCAGGAACTCGGCTCTGAACCCTTCAGGCACAATCAGGGATAAATCTGATACCATGCCCTCAGTAGGCTGGCTTCATCTGGGGTCACCGAATAGGCTTCAAAGGGGATAAACCCTTCCAAATTATATGGCCAGATTCATGGGCCCGGCCAGCCCAGAGGTCAAAATAGATAGGACATGTGCCTGAATTAATGGCCACCCACTTCCAAAAAATCACTGGCCAAAGTGTCAGAAAAGAGCTTGGGATCTGCCCCAACACATAGAAAGATTAGCAACCGAGGCCCCAAAGCCCAATGATGTGGACTGTGACCCACTTTGCAGAAGAGTAAACTGAGGTTCTAAGACTGGGATTTGTCTGAAGTCATAGCAAGTAAATTGGCAAGGGAATTACTAACTCAGGTCTCAGAGCTCAACCTTGTACACATCTGCTTTGGACATGAACTCCAAAGGCCAGACAAAGTGAACTTATTAAATTTCATTCCCTACACTTCGTCAAGGAATGTGACAGCAGGACGAGGGGTAGGAGGCCTCCACCACCACCTGCAGCCTCGCAAGGAACCGAGAAAATCTCAAGCTTGGTAGGGGCGTTAAGGTGTCTACTATCAACCATCACCACTCCATCTGCAGTGGAGCAGAACTCTCCCAAAGATAATGTGGTCTCTCTCCTTCATGGTTTTTTTTAACTTTTTCTGTCAGGACTCTGCCTTAAAGGAGGATAGATAGGACTTAAGAGACAGAAAAGAAAGAGGAAGGCCATCAGATGTGGAGCTAGCCATCGCATGAGCAAAGGTGGTAGGCAGGCCTGGCTACCTAATTTGCAGGCCCCAAGCAAAATGAAATTGCAGGAAGCCCTTGTTAAAAAATTATTAACTTTCAAGACATCAATATCAGAGCATTAAAACCAAGTGTGGGCTCTGTGTGACAGCACAGGTGGCACACCCATGAAGCTGGCTTGATAGTGGGTGGAGCCTAGTCTCTTTGGGGAATGGAGCAGAAGGAGATCTGATTTAGGGTGCTGGGAAGAGTGAGGTGACAGCCAGCTCCCCATCACGTTCTTACTGGAGGCCATGCAGTCATGGCTGTAGGTCCCCCTTCCCTCCCTGAAGAAAGTCCTGAGAAGCCCTGTCAGCATCATCAGCTCAGGAGGCCACCTGCCCCAGACCCATGCAGGCTGCCATCTGCCTTTTTTTTTTTTTTTTAGAAGTTTTACTGGGGAACAGTGTGTTTTTCTAGGACCCATCAGCTCCAAGTCAAATAGCTGTTTCAATCTAGTTGTGGAGGGTGCAGCTTAGCTCCAAGTCCAGTCGCTGTTTTCAATCTAGTTGCAGGGGGCGCAGCCCACCATCCCATGCAGGAATTGAACCGTAACCTTGTTGTTTACAGCATGTGCTCTAACCAACTGAGCCACCCATCTGCCCAGCCATCTGCCTTTGGAGAGCCTGCTCACACCCAGCAGTGGAAGGCAACTGGATCTCATGGCTGCCTGTGGTTGGCTCCAGTGCTGGGCCTTCTCTTGGGGAGTTACTGTGCCCAAGGATTCCTTTTGGAAAGCTGCAAGAGGCCTGGTAATAAGACACAGGACTGGCAGACAAAGTTCCAGCTGGGGCTCATGGGGCTGTAGTCTAGTAAATCAGTTGTCAGCCTGAAGAAGGGCCCTCTTCTCCATGGGGCTATTCTTGGGGAGGCCAGGTCCTGCCTGTCTCCAGCCCCTTGAGGTTTGAGGTATATGTCTTGGGGCCCCACTAGCCAGGGCCCAAGGAATTCTTAGTGGTTAACAGAGGACAGTCTTTTCATTGATGGGACAGAATGGTCCCTTAGGTCTCTGCACATGTGTATACACACATACACACACAGACATACATCTACACAACCTGCTCAGAGGCTAATGGTAGATGACCTAGTAAGGAGCTGGCTTCAGACCTGCGTTCAGGTCTCAAACAGTAACATTTCCGAAACATACTCCCCCCCCCACCCACATACACACCCTTGGATACACAGTGGAATGTGGGAACCAACTGGCCCAAGTTGGATGTGACCCCCCGCCAGGGTTAACATGTTCTTCTCATTATCAGGTTCTCAGACCAAGGTTTCCCCAACATGGCAGAGTGAGCTCCGTGTAGATAGACCATCTAGCCTTCAGCTCTACTTTAAGAAATAAAAACCCAGGTCACAAGGTAAAAGGGCAGGGAGGTCACTCTTGGCGTAGAAGGATGTGCCTCTTATCCCTCCCAATAGTAATAATAGGAATGATAACCACAGTGCATTGAGCGCTCACTGTGGGCATTGTAATATCTCAGGGGATCTCAGAGTTGCCATGTGAAATGGGTACTCTATCCTCATTTTACAAATGAGGAAATGAAGGCATAGAGCATTAAAGTGACCAGCCCCCATTCTAGTGGGTTGGTAAAAGGAACTGCTTAATCATTTATCCAACCATCATGGAGCACCTGCTCTGGGCCAGACCTTGTGTGGGATACAAAACAGACATGGTTGCTGCCTCCACAAAGCTCAAGGTCGAGCATACTTTATAGGACAGATCAGGTGTGCACGTGTGCATGCATGAGCCCAGGAATCATGGTGAGGGCGGGCTCTGTTCTGGGCCACTGTGCCCTAACTCTCTGGCTAAGGGGGAAAAGGGCACCCCCTTCCTCCTCCTCCTCCAGGAGGGCAGAGTTCTAAAGCCTGGACCCATTCGTGTAATCATTTGAGATAACTAATGCTTGCACAAGGCTAGGCACATGGTGGAGGCTTCACAAATTGGTGATGAATGAATGTTTGACAATTAGGAGTAATGGAAAACAGAGTTTGGAAAACGTATGGTATCACACACTAGCCTTTGAAAATCACCCTCAACTTTGAATTCTCCAAGTAGCCAAAGTTTCAGCCTTTACCAAAGCCAGAAAGGACCATAAAGATAAGCATACCCCTCTGACCCGCCTAGAACGGAGACCTCTGGAAGGCAGCCTGATGTTGAACAAACAGCACAGCCTCTCTTGGGTTCTGCCATTTCTGGCTGTGTGACTTGGTCACTCATTCACCTCTATCAGCCTGCTTTTTCATCTTCAAAGAGGTGGCAATAATACTCCCTCATGGGGATGCTGTGAGCTTTGGACAGAAAATGTAAGTAAAGTATCTGACACATTACAGGCCTCATTCAACAGCAGTTCCCTTTCTACTAACCTCACACCTTTGTCCGAAGCAAAGTCATGACTTAGAACAAATAGCATGAATGAATAAGCAAAGCAGGTTACACTTAAACCTGGCAAGGCAAAAGAGAGTCTAAGAAACAAGAACTTTGTATTTAACGACTAAAAACCAGAAAAGTGTTTATCACGAAGTGTAAAATCTCTTTATAAATGGACTTCAATCTCAGAGATGAGTATAAATGAAAAATTAGCATTAATCCACTTAAGAATGAAAAATGGATTTCCATTGTGTCCTCTTATAGTTATTTTTCATTGTGGGGGGGGGGAAACAGGGAGCAGTAGTTAGTTAATAATAGAATATACATTACCCAATTTCT